TAAACCAACACTATCTAACCAGTCGGCCCGTATAAAGCTGGTGGCCATATGTCAGAGCTAGACCTAAAACGATGTCACTGGTGTGACAGTGACACCGTGCTGGTGTGTGACAGCAGGGCTGTTCTTTGCAGTAAGCTTGACTGCGGCGCTGGAGCTGCGAGCGGGGCGCTGACCCCGCAAGCGCAGCTATTCGTGTGCACACACCAGAGGGCAGAGCTGCACCAGCACATTCCCGCTTCCAGCCGCGCCACTTCCCTACGGAGCGGGCAGGACTGGGTGCCTGGTCTGGGGAGAAGGGGAAGAAGTGAGGAAGGACACACAAATCTAAGGGGAAAGCTATCTGAGACAGAAAAAGGGGGCACATACGTTACAGCTACCATATCACGACCCCAAAATGGTCATTGGGTTTATTGCTCCAACTCTTCAAAACTAACCGCTGTATCACAACCTAAACAAATTAAATGCAACAGGACTATCCCCTTTGCATGCAAAGATGAAAGCATATTACCAACTGATCTACATTATTTAGAAACCATGTTTTTCTAACAAGGCTGTAGGTTCAAAAGGGCTAAAAAATCTGTCTTGAACACGATGGCATGGAAAGAGAGCAGCATGTACGGGCAGTGGGAACCGCGCTGCTCCGCACCTGACACTCCCACAAGGACCTTCTCTCCTTAATGCACGTAAAAGTATTAATTAATTTAATTCAAGGGGGTAGGTTTTTATCTGGATTTCTCATCCAATTCATTCTTACAAGTTTAAAAGCAGCTTTGAAGCTGCCTCGAATAGTGGAATTATACTGATTAAAAATATATATATTAGGGATTCAGAGGCACCTGGCACAGCAGGGCACCAAGTCCGCTCCTTGGGGCGCTTCGTGATCTCCGTCGTGCTCGAGTCTGGAGGATGTTCCCAGGACCAGGAGGGATCCCGTCGGTTCATGCGTGAGGCGGCCAGGCGCGTTCACGGAGCTTCACACACAGGCACTTCTGCTTCGCTTCTGTTTCTGCATGATCCAGGCGTTATTTATTATCCAACGGTGGTATTTTAAGATTTCTTATCTTTGTGAGCACTCCCTAAGCGGAGTCAACAGCAGACAAAGGGAGCTTTGCTGCCCATCAGATCTGCGAGCACGATCATTTTTTATTTGAACCCACTGCCTATGTCTTTGGCATCAAAGCCGAGCACCTACGTGAGAGAGGCGGCACTATCAGCATGTGCACTATATATTGGCAAGGGATTTAGCTGGCAAAGAATAAAACACACCACTGGCAAATGATCCAAAATGCAGCTAAGCAAATTAAACCACCCTGATAAGACGCAATATACTATTTAGCTGTCATTTCTCCAAAACTTATGCATCCGTGCAGTGAAAGGGTGGCAACTCTGGGCCGCACGGAGCCACATCCTCATTACTGTGGAGCTAAAACCGTAGCTTTAAAACCCACCATTTGCTACCTGCTTCCCTATTCCCATTATCCAACTTATCCGCAATAATCACATCTAACTGGACATGCAGTGGGACACTGCATATTTGCACAGTAATGACCCACAAACACTTTCTTCACATCAACAGAAGTCACCAGCACACCAGCATCCAATACTGTCACTGAATACCAGACTAACCTCATGCTTGATAAACTGAAAACAAAAACAAACAAAAAAAGCACCAAATTGAAGCCATTTGCCAAAGATCACAGTTAATCCAAGACAGAATTCCTTACTCTAAACCACAGACAAACATACTTACAATATATCCCAAAACTACCCAAACACTTAATCCCTGCTAATCCTTTTATAATTCACAAGGGAAGATTTTCGCTCAGAAAATCATCAGCCAGATCCTTCTTTGGGAAAGCACAGAAGATGGCTCATACCTATTCACACTTCTGCTTCTTCCACGTCTATAGGATTTCTAGCCTGACTTTGCCTAGTAACTCGATTGTGCTCTACTTTAATCTATTATCCCGTATTTATTACGGTAAAAATCTTTGGAGATTCTATCCTAGCATTAAAAAGCCATCACTGTAGCTCAGCAAAAGCCGGGATTGACTATTTGCAAAATCAAAATGCATTTCAAATTGTTCCATGAACCTCTGGTCTATTATGAGAATACCGTGAGAGCCCAGAACTTCCTTCCCTGAGAGACATTTTTCATGATAAAAGGAAATGAATTCAAATGAGGTGCCACAAAATCCAAAGCTACAAGCTGGTAAAGGAGCCTCCTCTACAACAGCACCATCAGTTACCATAAACTGATTTGACCAGGAAGCCGAGAGATGGGAGGGAGCCCGTTTTGATTCCAAAGCATTTTGGAAACTATCGGATTAAATTCAAAGGCAGCAGGGAGATTCCAGGCCACTCTCAGCAGGCCGATATTACCCCTATGCAGCTCCGAGGAGCAGAGCTCCCTTCGTTCCACCACCCGAGGCTCAGGGAAAAAAAAATCTGTGCGGGGAGCGCGATGGATCTGGATGCAGCAGCCAAGGGGATTGATTTTTGCAGCAGCTCTCCCGCGGGGGACCAAGGACGAGGTAATGAATGGGCTTCGCTGCTGCCGCGTCACCTCCTGAGTGACGATTGTCACCAAGCACAGTACGAGGTGCTCCGAGGAGTCTGTCTCCAAGAAAGCCCTTTAGATTGCTCAATGTAGAGACTTCCAGCCTGACTGCTGCATCCGACGCCTTTTCTCACCGTTTGGAGGCCGTTTTCCCTCTGGACTGGGCTGCCTGCAAGCTCTCTCAAATCCTCACCCTACAGGCGCTCCCAAGCCAAGCGCCCCGGGACTGACCAGCCCCGTCAGCGGCTAATTGAAGAGCTGCCTCTTAACGAAGGGTCACTCTGCCCCCCGCGTCCTGACGTCCGCTTGCGATACAGCGGCTCCGCGCTCCTGATTCTCCCTGTCTCGCGGGAGAGCAGGGAACAGCCAGCGATGCGAGGACAGCGAGGGGACACGACGGGCACGTCGCTTCTGCACTTTGCTGTGCAAACTGCTTTTAGCAAATTCACAAAAACCTTTTCAGAAGGGTAGAATTTGATACCTCCCTTCTACCCAGCACAAGCAAAGTGGAGCTGAACACAGGTGCTGAGATGAAGATTAGGACTTCAGCAACAACTTGGCTGTACCCAATATATACAAAGAGTATGTATATCAGTATAACCATTATATTCATGTACAATAGCTGTATTTAGCTGTTGTTGGTCATAATACACACTCCACTCAAACTCAAATGTGATCCCCACCAAACTGTCTATAGGCCCGGGACCGATCTATTTTAGTACACAGTCCCCCTGTTTCATAGATCTACTTGCACTGATGTTGGTTTCAGTATCTCTCTTGCATTCGTCTTGAAAATAGAAATTGCTGAAAGGCGAATGTATCTTTCAGTGTTTTAAAAAAAAATGTTATTTTTCAATGAGTTTAGTGGCTCTCTTCCATACAAACAGAATTGCTGTGGATTTCTCTAGTCCTTGCATTTGGCAAACTAAAAGATAAGAACCTTCCTTGAGAAAATCCAATTACATCCTCAGAAAAAAAAAAGCTTCTTTTAGTGAAGAAAAGCTATTCTTTTCCCCCAAAGTCCACCAAAGTGTATGCAATAGGACTTCTCCTTTCCCCTCCTCTCTTTCACATCCCAAACATCAGATTCCCCTGCACAGAGGCCCCCATTACATCACCTTCTACTGCAAATCTTGCTCCTGCCCTCATTTGCTAGAGCTTAGCCAAGCGGCAGCCCAAAGCAGCTTTGCTCGCTGCAAATCCGGCCAAAAGAGAAGCAGCAGAGCCCTGGAGAGCGTCTCCCTGAGGAGCAACGTGCCAGCTGCTGAAGATACCTCCATTTGCTCCCAAAAATACAAGCAAAGCACAAATGCAACAGGCTGTACTTCTTTTAAGGGGTTGCCCTGCTTGGTTTCAGGGCTGCTGATGCAAAATGCAATGTACAAGAGAGCCCCCTTCCTCCGCAGCCATAACCCTGTGTCCGTACCCGCACGAGCGGTGCTGCTGAGGAAGCCGCCGCGGCCGCAGTTCGTTTTCCCAAACGATCGATATTAAATTGCGCAGCTTAAAAGCAGCCAGACCCTCGAGTGGCAGCTTAACGGGGAGGCTGAGCGAGGGTGGCAGCTCCCGCAGGGCGCTCCTGCGCTGCCCCGTGTGCGGCGGCGATGGCCCCATCTTTGTTCTTCAGCTACTACGCTCACTCTTCAGTCATGCAGAGGTGATTTAACAGACCTCAGCCCTGCAGGAAGGAGCACTCGAGTGACAGTCTGGCTCTTGCAAACACTGCCAGCCCAGGCCCTTCCCAGCTGCTTTATTTAGAGCACTGTAAGCGTCTGCTGCCCTGTGGAAGCAGGGAGCAGACACAGCTCCCAGCTCGCACAGAATAGATGCGTCTGCCCAGCTCCCTGTTCCTCGTATTCAAAGCAATAGCTCTGAGTTTATTCTCTCTCTTTCCAAGTGAAAAACAAGCAAAATGCAGGTAAAAGCAGCTAACACCTGAAGACCAGTTTGGTCTCAGTGGCACATCCCATTTTACTTCCAAACTTAGAAAACGTGACATGAAAATCCATGAGCCACGATGACTCCACAGATCATCTTTAGATCTTAAAGATCATCTTTACAGCAAGGCATTACCCTGGGAATCCAAGTACCTCCAGAAGCCAAAATGAGCAAACGCTGCTTATTAATCAAGAATGTGAAAATCAAATTCATTAGCAGTTCCAAAGCTATGTACACAATAAAAGAGTCTCTTTAATTATATTATCTTATAAGTAAACGCGATGGAGGCCAGAGGTATAATCAACTTTGCCACCAAGAGATTATGGCTTCACTGAGCTAGTAATCACCCAGACCCTAGAAAAAACATGTCCTGCTACTCTAAGATATTCTCATCATGTCCCTGTGATCATTTATTTCTTACTAGATGGCTGCATATGCTGTAAAATAAACTTAAAATCAACCTGCCCAAGAAACTTGGTCATAACCGTATCTTAAAACAAACCTTTCTTTGAGCGAGATTTTGGAGGTTCTGCAGCGGCTGGCGACGAAGAAACCTGAAAAGACAGAAGAAAAGTGTTAAATCCAGCAGGCAGAATTCCTCGAAGAAATATTCCACAAGATAATCAGGAAGGACAACCAGCAAATCCCAAAAGAGAGCATAAAAATAGCAGTATATCTGCCAGACAAGCTCTGCCTTGGCAAGCACTAAACCTTCCTAGCCTGAGCGACAGGGAGATTTCTGTTCACTGTGTAAACTAGATAAACTCGCTCATTTTAGAGCACTTTACTGTTCTGCAGGCTCAGTGATATTTATTAGAAATTGATCCTCGCATTTTAAAAAACAAAATCTCAAGCATTAGAAATGCTATATAAAAACCATAACAACTGCTTCTGACATTTTTACAAACAAGGCTTCGTAGGATGAGCTGTAACTGAAAGAAGTTTATTTCAAGAGCCTTGGGAGTAAGAAGACCTACTTCAAAACCCAGCATCCTGCCTTTTCTGGAAGAAATAAATACCACAACAAGCCACCCATTCAAGACAGGGGCGAGCGTCCTTTTCCTAGGGTGCATTCCCAATGTATTTGATCGTATCTTGATAATAATCTGAATTAATCTGCCTGAGTGAAGCTGAGGTCTTTTGACAGATTTTTTAGATTAAAATACATTTCCAATATTTTAGAATATAGAGAGCAAAATGAAGGCGCCCCTAGGCCAGACTTTTGCCCCCCATATATGGCCAAAAGGAAGGGACTTCAGAAAGCCACCAGAGCCTGTATGCGAGGGAGCACTGCAAAGCCCCGCTGCAGGGCAGGTCACAAACCTCAGCCTGCAAATCATGCCCAAAACTGGTCTCACGGACAAGCAGGTAACTACTTCATGGGGAAGAAGTATTTAAAAAAAAATTAAAAAGTACTTTATACAGCTACACACGGCATCCTTTGGCTTCTTCTTACAACTCAGTCCATCTAGTCAGAAAAATCAGCGTTCACAGAAGAAAAACAGAATTACACAGGGGAATCTTCCCTTTCTTCGTGCTCCAGTTCTCCTGGGGGAAGAGGCAACCCTCACTCCACTTCCCTGGCATTTATAGACCTGTGTCATCTCTCCCCTCCTAAATACGCAACTTTTCAGGCTGGGGACTCAGCCTATCTGCTCTCTGGGCACGACATTGAAGCCACTGCAATACCCCTGGGGCCTGGCCAAGCACGAAGGCTTTGGCCAGTTCTCTGTCCTCGTCATTTCTAGCATTTCGTTTGCGTTCCTGATCCCTAATGAGAAACACAGCATTGATGTTTCCGCAGAACCACGAAACTCCAGGATCCTGCACCTGGGAGGCAACAGCCCCCTCAGACCCGTCGCTTTTTGACACGCTGTGTTTTGTTCCTTACACACACCCCGGCCACGCTCTGCCCTGTCACCCAGCACCGTTAGATTTCTCTAATTTCTTGGGGCTATTGCTCATCTTTTTTACCCCAAATAACTTGCTGCTAGGCATTTTGTCCCGGAAAACTGAACACGGCCCCTCTACAGACCCCCGTAGGATGCCCAGGAGACTCCCTGCACTCCAAGATGAGCGTTTTCCCCTTCCAACAAGGCGTTTATCCACCATCAGGACACGGCTCCCACTCCCAGAGCACTTAGTTTCTTCAAGAGCTTTTGGCAATGAAGAATCAGGTAAGGGAACGAGGCTGTTTTGCAAAACATGGGAAAAGCGAGGGACGTTGTACTTACGGATTCAGCGAGAGAGCCCCCCAGAACACTTACACAGCTTTTCATTTATGTTAACCATATGTATATATTTACATGTATATTATATACTTAATATGTAATGATATATACACATTATATATATGTATATATAAAATATGCATTAGGTTAATATATAATAGTAAGCACCCTAAATATATCATAAGGAAGACAGAGGAGATATATTTCACTGTACGCTCTTAAACGCCCCTTTTTGGTCTCTGCAGGGGATTTAACGCTGGGCGCCCCGGGGGGCGCAGAGGGTCCCGAGCCGCCCGCAGCGGTTCGGGGCCCTGAGGGCTCCCTCCCTCGCTCCCTCCCTCCCTCCCGCCCGCGCTCCC